ATGATCCTTTCTTTATTTGAAAGCTAGTGCTTGCCGTGTGGAACTATTTTAATTGGTCCAGATCTGGCATTTGCATCTATGACAAAACCATATAAATCTTAAATTTGTATTAAGTATGAGTAGTGTTTTTTACCCCAAAACTCAAAATATCACTAAAAAGGATGAAATAAAAACTTTTTATTTAAAAAAAAAATAGCCGACTTCATATTTAAAAAAGTGAAAAATAATATCTAAGAATATAGCTCGAAATTTTATGTTCTTAGATATAATAATTTATTGCATGTTCGTTAAAAAAAATAGACACGATTTTTATGAATTAACGCAATAAATAATTATAATAAAATTGTCCTATTTTTTAAGTAACAAATTTTGTTAACAAATGTGTAATTGCTTACTTAAGTTTGCGTAAGCAACTACATGAGATCAAAGAAACCGACTGTTGAAATAAATTGACAGTGCTCGACATGTTACTAAGTAATTTGCATATAGACTGATCTACTGGTAAATTCCGAGAATAACGTAAGTAGGTACCATATTAAGTTGTCCAACTTAATTTTTCACAGTTAAAATACAACTCATCGTTCCCCTTAAAGTATTAATAATATATTATCTGTGGCATGGTAGGTACACTTTTCTGTCTCTTACTCAGCTAACACTGAAAACTTAGGCAACTATAGATGTGCAATATTTTTTAAAAGGCAGCAAAGAATTAATTAAGCTTTCATTTCATAAAAAAAACAAATGAAGACAAAGTCAAACTTTACCTCTTTGTAGCTGATAATCTCATAGTTGGCCTCAATAACAACCTATATTTTTTTAGTTGCCTTATAGGCAACCTATATTTTTCCAAATTTTCTCAATTAATGTTCAATTTTCATGAATCACAAGATGGAAGACGTTGATCAAAATATTAAAATAAACTGACATTATTTTACAGTATTGCTCTATTTAGCATGGCAATTCATTTGTTATTAAAAACTATTTAAAAAACATATAAAATTTGTCATAATGTAAGCATCTCGTAAGAAGCTTAGCAAGAAGGTATGTCTTCTAAATAAAGGCGGATAAAATACCCGCGGCAAAAAACACCGAAATTATTATTAAAAAAACTCAAACGCTTACGCAATTTAAAATTAGAAAAAACTTTTGTCGTCAACAGTCACTGTTTATCCTGATTTTATTTAGGTAATTGTATATATTGTACACGGATGTTGGTAAACTTAGTGCTTAAAAAATTCATCAGTCCTGTTAGGTCCTGGGTAGCTCAGTGATTAGAGCAATCGCAGGCGCCCAGATTGCGAAAGGTCCTGGGTTCAAGTCCTATCTCTGAGGGATAAACTTTTTCATTAAGAATAATTTTCAGCATAGCATTGAAAATGCAGAATTGAGCTAAGATAAATTTTTATATAACTCTTTTATTAATTAACTTACTTTCATTACATTTAATAAACATTCAAATATTAATTTCATTGTATTGCGTTTAATAACAAGATCCAATCAATTAACATATAAAACTTGTGATAATAATTTGTCTACAGTTTTGTTATTTGAGACAGAGTTAAATATTTACAAAGTTTAAAAGACATAACATTAAATGGAGTCTCGTGTCACGAGGTCTACTTAATTTAGACGATTTACCGTTGCTGTTCGTCGTCGTGGTGTACTAACTGTCGGTTCTCGGAACTCGTGAATGGCCTGCGCGGGTCATATCATCCCACTTTCTTTGCGTATGCTCCGGAGATTCCAACGGTGGGCTTACGTCAGCGTACCTCATAAGCAGATTACATTATTTTATGGAAATTATAGTGAACACTTGAAAGCTTCGATGAAATAAGACTTTATCACCTTTTGAAGTAGGTTTTATTTAGCTCTGAGCAAGTTTAAAATTCAGTTTCCGTGTTCATTTAAAACTAATGTTTCGATTGTCTTTTTTAAATTAAGAGTATAGCTACCTTCAAAATTGAAACACTACTATTGGACACATTCACAATACAAAAAAAAAATACGGAACTTAACGTGCCTTCCGTGTATGGAGCAGCTCGAGAGAAGAATTTTTGGTCACCCATCCAGTGACCGGCACTTGCAAAAGTTGCTTGACAACAACGATCGCGGGCCGTGGCGCCACCGAGTTATTTTGCTGTATCATCCTCAATTACTGGTTGTAATGATAACCTGACCTTTATATGTTGAATTCTACTATTCCTTTATTTTTCTTTAATCAATAAGTAACACAATACAGCGATAAAATATATTTGAAAATCCAGTACCTAATGATACCATTCTTTGATATGATCCCTTTAGTGGTATCTTTTATTCATAAGCTGCAGTAGAGTTGCTTGAAAATGTTTCCTGTAACACACGATCCTATTAGTAGCTTAATATTAATACAAAACTGTCTCCAAACAAAAAAGAAAAATATGTATGGCGTAAACGAAGATTAAATAAGGTATCACCAAACAAATAACGTGAAAAAGAAGTCATGAAGGGAGTCAGATCATGTTTTTTATTCTTTCAAACATTTAAATAGATCAAGTACCTAGTTGAAGTGGTCTATATAATATGGAAATCAGAAACAACGCAAATATCACAATATCCATAATGCCAGGTAAAAAGGAAACATATTTTTTCTAGTTTGGCTCATCTGAGAATCTGAAAATCAAGTAGTGAACTCAGAGATGACACCCTGAAACCAGTGTGGAAGCAAACGGATGTTATCAAATAAACAGTTACAAGTATAATAAAGCGTTAAAAATAAATAACCAAACACCCATTCACACGTAGAAATAAATAGGAGTAAGCTGAGTCTATTTCCATGTTATTATGTGTTGGAGGCTGTGCTTATGGAGAGACTTATTAATATCGTCTAGCGGTCAAAAGTTAATCGGGTTTAAGTCGTTCGCATCGCCCACGAAGATCCATCACAGTCGTCATTATTCACACACGAATTATGTAATTTCAATAAATGGAGCTTATTGAATAGTGATGAACGTCGGTAGGCCGCGATGGGACCCCCGTAGTGAGACAGCCTACCTAAAACCATATTAATAAAATTCAAATAACAATCGAAACCAAATCCATTGCTTCTGCAACGCAGTGCTATCAATGGGATCGTGTAGAATATAGTCAATGTAAATCGTATAAGAACATTGGGTCGCCGTGAATAGTAACGCGTAGTAGATTACTCTCCCAATAAGCACTTAGATCCACATTGTCTAAAATAAATGTATTTTGTTTGAATAAATCGAGCGGGTGCCAACAGAGGTCGCGACTAGTGTTAATGAATCTTTTGTTAATGAGTTACCTAAAGTGCAATTTTGTGAATGTGGTCTGATAAAAATGTACTGTGACAAGACAAGATATAGTTTATGTTCATGTATAGTTCGTGTAGTCTTTCTTTCAAACTGGTATAAGACTCTTAAATATTATTAACTAGATTGCTTACCTTTTCGATTCGTTTTCGGGAATGGCAATGACATTTGATGTGCGTCAAAAACCTGCTTAGAAATTCTTTATTGGCTCTTAAAACTATCGAATCGTAAAAGTAAAAATGTGAAAACAATTTTTCATAATCTTTTTGTATGTCATGCCAGAAATCAACAGCTGAGGTGTCTACGGAACAGTATGCAGCGAGAGGAGTACCTGTGTAATTAATCTTACAGCTAAGGTACCAGTACAATAATAGAGCGCTAAGCGAGCTCCCCACACGTCTGTAATTGATTTATAGGCAAATATTAAATCTGTTCTCACCAGGCCTCTCATGAGTAATGACCGTACCCAATATTGTTTGAGGTTTTGTTTTTCACCCATTTATCCATGTAACTCGCGCTGTTTAACTGACAGACTATTCGTTGGACAAAGAATTCATTCGATCGGACTCACAAGCTAAATCCCACTTAACGTTCATTACTTAAAATTTATTTAAAAATATCTTTGTCAGCTCAACTCTTTATCAATCAGCCGGTAAGCCCGATGTAAATGTCAACAAAATGTCCGAGATGAGCAGCATCACACTTATCAAAACAATACAAAACGCAGGATGTTATCGATAATGATCGCGGCCACGACAACCCTGTAACTCCATTTTTTGTTGGTTGACATCGCGCTAATAATACTCATGAGAAAAATGCGCGCCGGACCCCCATCATCCTCCTTTTGTTTTTAATTTCTACCTCAGTGGCACCGATTTAATTGGGCTCAACTCGAGCGAGCGCACCTTCGTATTTCACCTCGGCTCGCTTCATTTGAATATTTAAAGCATTTCGGTTCTCCGTCGCATTATTTTGTTTATTTAGACAATATTTATATATTTATTTCAGAGGCAGCGTCATTTATTTGGTGACGTGACTTACCGATGTCGCGTCCTTCCCAGTATCGACATAGTTAACGCGGTGAATTCTCTCGCGTTCCATTTAAAAGTTTGGAGTTCTTTCTTTGGTTTGTCTTTTTGTTGAGTCGCGTTGCTGCCGCGTGTGGCAAGTTCTGCTCTTCGTTGTTTTCTGGCCAGCTCTTATCTTCGACAAGATTGCTCGTTTTTAAATGAAGTTATATCGCTCCGATTGAACACCGGGCCATGGAGGCGAGGTGAATTTTTAATTAGTTTCCGAAGATAGAGAATTTTTAAAGCAGGAATGCGCGAGGGAGAGGGCAGCGTGTGTGCGCGGATTTCTTAATTGAGACGTAGACGCCGCGTCGCGGGTATCGTGAGGCGATTTGTTAAAGACAGATAGATTAATTATGAATTAAAGACTTAAATCGACATCCGTGCAACTGCGCACGCTGGCCGTATTAAGCTGGTATTCGCTAATGAAGAGAATAAATGAACGCTATTTATCGTAATGTCATAATGAACGATCGCATGCTACTAAATGAAAGTGCACCGTCGTATCATTCGTTCTACACCTTTCAAAAATATGTCGATGAAAAAAGAAAAATTGACGCGTTTCATTTTTATTACCAACAAATTAATCAATAGTTAATATGGTGGTGTAATAACTTCATAATTATTCAGAAGGAACTAGGGCGACCACGTTGAATCCGATGTTGTCTGGTTCACGTTCTATAAATTGACGACACACTTTAGCCGCGTCTTCCAGAAGCTTCTCAGGCGTAGTTTGGCCATGGTCTACAGGGAGTATTTTGCGTCCGTCCAGCTCGAGCAAATGCCCATCCTTATGAATAAATGTGACGAAGTGATTGTTTGGAGTTTCATTTGTGTCTTGAACCTCCACTGGATCGTGGTGAACTACATCTTTGTACGCTTCTAGGATAGCTATGGAGTTCTCTAATAATGCACCTTTAGCTGCAGCGTCTAAACCTTCAGCATCCTTTAGAAAGTTTTTCAGTAGACCATCATTTATCTCGATTTCCGAGGCGTTGTTCGCGACGCTATGGACTAAAGCTATAGTTCCGCATATATTGCTTAGAACTTGCCTCATGTGAAATACGTCTTTGGGAGTTTGAAGTCCCTTCGTCTTCAGGTCATTTTCCTGCTCGCGTCGATGTTGTTCGTATGTGTCAGAAAGTGGAAAAAGTAGAACAACTGCGAGGACAGGACGAGGAACCCACGCGAGAGCTTCGCTTTCTAAGCCGATGACATCAACCATCCGCCACTTTTCAGATACTCCTAATCGAGCAAGGTATTTGTTCATAACGTCAGGGTTAGACTCCATTGGTAATGAAACAGCCATTTTCAACAAATATTAAACAGTTATGTATTTAACTCGAGAAAAACTTATATATCGACTATTGTCAATGTCATTATTTTTGACAGTTTTTCGTTTCTGTTAACTTCTGTTTATTTTTCAGTAGTCTGTCAAGTTCAAAGAGTATTTAATCCTAAAGATTTAAGCCACTTCTTAGGCATCCGTCGTTTTTATATGTTGCTCGGGGAACTTTAAGAAGCAAATGCAAAATATTTCCACTATTCTAAGATCTTTTAAAATACATGACATATTTTAGTGCGGTTTTCATCAAGAGTAAGAGCGATACAAGAGGAAAGGTCTATCTGTGTAATAACTGTTGTCCCATGACTTCGCACGCGTAAACACGTAGGTGAAAGATTTTTAAAATCAGTCCAGTAGTTTCGGAGCCTATTCGATGCAAACAAACAATAAAATCTTTCCTCTTTTTAATATTAATATAGAAAAAGGACAATCCTGGCGAAGCCTCTAGCGAAAAACTAGCCTATAATAAACAGTGTCTATGTCATTGCGCCCGGTCCACATACACCACATCACCAGCCCTTTTACGTCCCCACTGTAGGGGCTCCGGCCTTCCTTATGGATGGTTAAGGAGGATGGGCCATAACCCTCCACGCTGGCCCAATGCGGATTGGAGGGTATTAACGACGGCAAATGCAGCCGGACGGCTTAACGTGCCTTCCGAAGCACGGAGTAACTCGAGATAATAATTTTATTGGTCACCCATCCCATGACCGACCCTAGCGAAAGTTACTTAACGACAAAGATCGCGGGCCGCGGCGCTTATCCACTACGCCACCGAGCTACTCACTTTTTTCCTTTGCCTGACATGTTTATCAATTGTTTTCATATAAAATAGCATAAATTAATTTTTATATTAATATATATAATATAATATATGAATAAATCACCTACAACAAAAAATAGAAAAAGTAAGACATTTATGGATAAATTTGTAATTTTTTCTATAGGTATCAAAATGTGTCAAGCATAAACGACAACATAAAACGTTAGCACAGTGATTTGTTAGATATCAAACAAAAATTAGTCATCATCCCTATTGGAATTGTCTAATCCAAGCATTACACTAATTTACAAAACTTTTATTGTCTCTTGTTCATTCAAATCAATTACATTAAAAATTAGGCCACGAGTCATCTGCCTTAAGCATCTTTACAAAACTTGTATCCCACGAGCAGTTCCCTAAAATTTGTTGTCCTATAATAATATACATTAAATTGACATGTAAAAAAAAAATGCGGATTAAAATTCCAACGAAAATGTTAAAGGACCATGCAAGATGATAGTTAAGTTTAACCTTTTAAAAGTGTCATCAAAGATTAACGCAAATATTTCCAGGCAACGTTTCTGTCTAAAATTAAATAAATAGTTGGGTATTATACTTATTCTAGTTCTATTCAGCAATTTTGCATGAAGCTTCCATAATTATAACGTGAGCTTAATGATGTAACATAATGACAAATGTTTTTGATGACTTATTTATAAATGTAAATAATGCAGGTGTAATTTAAGAGACGAATTAATTATCCGTTATTTTATTTTTCTAGTGCAAACCTGAGCTAAGAAATATGCATGATTATTCATTAGTTCAGATTTTTTTCTAAATCATTATCATCAACCCTTTTTTCGTCCCCATTACAGGGGATCAGGCTTTCCTTATGAATAAGGATGGACCATGACCATCCACGCTGGCCCAATGCGGAATGGAGGGTATCAAAGACTACAAATGCAGTCGGGACCAACGGCTTAACGTGTCTTCCGAAGCACGGAATAGCTCAAGATATTAATTTTTTGGTCACCCATCCCGTGACCGTCCCTTGCAAAATTGTCAAAGAACAACGGTCGCGAGCCGCGCTGCTTATCCACTACGCTACCGAGCTATACTTGCTCTAAATATAAAATAAAATAATATCAAATGTTGTCAACAAAATAGGCCGTTTCAAACCAATAAAACCTACTTCAAAAGGTAATGATGGTTTTATTTCAATAAAGATGTATGTAATAGCGCTGTGCTCGACGTCGAGTTCCAGGCCGTTTTAAACAGAATAGCATAGTAGTACATAGCAGAATAAACGGGTTCCTTTATACGTTTGAAAGCCAAATCACAATGTACAGTCAAAAGCACGTCGGACTTTACATGTCTGTCAAATGTCTTTACTTTATATTAAACCTTAATACTTTGAAGGTAGCGCTTAAAACTCAATTGAAGAAATTTGAGATATTGTGGTGACGAGGGGCACTATTGTGGGTACCTACAATCTCCCAACTCTCTAGCCATAGAATACGATATCTTACGAATATTAAGACGATATTGCCTTTCATTTTACCACTTTGATATACTTATATAGCAAAATCTGGGATAAATGACTAAGTTGGAAAAACTTCTGTCAAATCTATATTCATAATGTGGAAATATTTTAAAAAAAACGTTAGTGCCCGAAATCAAACTAGATGTCGCTACGGTATGTTCTTGATTTCTCCATGACCTTTCCGGTTTTTTTTCAAGTTCAAAAGTAAATTAGTTTTGAAAACTCAATAAACAACTCATATTCTATTTGTACTTTTTCATATTGATATCTAAGTTTGAAATTTTCAAATTTCAGTTTTTTAATATGTTAGTTCCTTCCTCATTCTTTGTCATTCATTCTTCGCTATTAAATTACATGTCAAATTAGTGAAATGAAACGAAATACATAACTGTAGTTGGGCGATCGCTCACTGCTCGCTCACGTGCACCAGTGTGTACCAATAGTTACGCGGTAAAGTTATTGGCATACTTACAGATTTTATAGTTTAATAAATAAATGAGCGACCTTGATGGCCGAATGTCTCATACAGCATTTGCAAGGTGTCAGTACCTAAGCTCCTGGGTTCGATTCCCAGTCGGTTCAATATATAAAACGGATTTTTCTATGGACTTGATTATGGTCGCGCTATATTGTTTCATATTTCTATTATATACATGCATTAGCTACTTAATTTGGTATTCGAGTAACTTATATTATATTGACAATTATTTTATCTATACTGATATTTAGAGAAAATATTCATTTGCTCCGAAAGTAAAGGACTGATTAAAAAAAATCTTTCTACGCGGGTGACTTAGACACATGGAAGTACGGGAAAACTGCTGGTTTGTTTATAAATAAGTATATGTTTAATCTTATGTGATATTCCTACTCCAATGTGACGTCCTATATTTTCGACGAGTCTCGATACATTGCCACACTTTGTGGGTCACAGCCGCTGTTGAACACTCTTATTACGGTGTCAAATTTTGTCAAACACCTCGCTGTCCATTAAGGGCAGCGGTGGGCGGGACTATTGAGAAGTTATCGATGTAATATAAATGATAATACGATCTGAAGATATTTATATTATAAGTGCAAAGTTATGACTCATCTCATCACATTGACGCGTCTGAAATTTTTTTATGTAGGTAACTCGATGTACCTATATCTATAACAGTGCCTATACATTTATACGCAGTGTTAACTAAGTACGTATTGTAAACTATTAAAGCCGACTAAATATGATAGAAATATAGAAAACATCTTATCAATTATAAAATAAAAGACTTTCGCTGTGAAAATACTTACTTCTGATGCCAACGTCTCCATTTGATTAATTTTGAACGGTGGCCAAAAAGATTGTCAAATTACGGCGGTCACAGTTAACTAACTTACTATCGTAACACAAATGTCTTATAATCACCTTTAAAATTAAAAGAAAATACACGTTGCTATATTTATTTTATGTTAAAACAAACATACTAAAGTGCAATTAAATCTTCAACACTATTTGCCGTTTAATGAAAATAAGTGTTATCGATATAGATGATAAATCAACTTAATCACGTTCTGCTCCTTATTAAGTTAATGAAGAAATAACACTTGGATTGATGATTACTCGTTAGTGGTAATGCATTTTGCTTAGTGACTAGGCAACTGACCGAGTCGATATACACCTGTTTATAATCGATTTACCTACTGCTATAAGAAATTTTACATTATGTAGGCTTAAAGAAGAAATAGGGATGAGGGTCCGTTAGGTAGATTATTGAAAAATATAAAACACGTATTTCTTTCGTAATCATTAAATTACGGCGATACATCGAGTTAAAATGTCACATTGACGTCATGCGACATTGTAACTCGATGGATTTTCTACTAAGCAGTGACGTAGCTAGCCCCCGTTCCTCAACTTTAATGCCTGTTATCTATGTCTGAAGAAATTTTATTGATTCCATATTTTTGTATAAAAATACAAAACAAATTGATTGATTATACTTGTCTCAGATATTCTATTCCTATGTCGTTTCGATTCTCACTTCAGGTTATGCCACGAAACGTTATTATTACCAATTCAATATTGAGCGGATGCCGCTTTTTGAAGTGAATTCAAATTCGGCTTTGGATTTTTATAGAATCGCACGGCTGTTCGCACTCGCAAACGAATGTATCGATGTACTAACGGCGTAATACTTACTTTTATCTTCAGACTAATCGCATCTCCGTAGCTCATGTAAGTGCACACTAGAGGCGGAGGCGTGGCGCTTGTCCGCGCTGACTACCTTCAATTATGGCCTAAGAGCGATCATTATTTAGAAATTCATTCGGTAAATACAATAATCGATTCACATGACAACCGCCGCCAACGGCGCGCGCCCCATTCTTTGTGACTTTCAATTTTAATGAGTTTATTGAGACCTTAATAAAATGTGTAACGTCATATTGACTCAGCTCGTGCCAATCAAGACGGCCTCAAGGTGTTACGTAAAAAATTCACTTTTATAAGATGGACGTTAGTGTAAAGGTGCTTGCAGTTTCGTTCGCTGCGCTTGCGCAACATTTTATTGCACATAAAATATAATCGAATGTTTTAAAAGAATAATAAATACGATAGAATAGAGATAACTTACAAATTTACAGTGCTACTTATAAACAAGGTTTAGCGCCAGAGTAAAT